AACACATCATCACAGCATACTATAAATCATAAGTGCGGGCCCTTCCCAGCAGCGATTGCCATCGATTTTTTATGGAATTCTGTCGACCTTTGTGGTCCGGTCAGCGGCTCTGTTGCGGGGGCCTATCATCCGTAGACGGCGGCGCGAATTCTGTAACACGTGGTTCCATTCTGTAAGGATGTGTGGATTTCTGTAGCTGTCTATGCTGATGTCAGCATGGCCCTACCCGTTTCTGTAAAACGCTTTTTTTCTCTGTGGCTCCCTCATAAATTCTGTTGATTGTACAGAATTTTAACGGAGCCAAACAAATTCTGTTGGGGACGGACAGATGGGGCCACCTCTAAGGCCCATTCGGGTCGGATTGGGCGCCGCGGCGGGCACATCGCCCGCGCATCGAGCCGAAAACCACGCCAGTGGTGAGGTGACCGGTGTGCCATGCTGCCAAACGGGAGGACGCTCTGTAAGCCCCGACGAGGGCATTGTGCCACGAACCGTGTCTGGCCGCGCGACCACAGGACGGGTGACGTGACTGGATGACTACCAACGAGCAGGCGTACGTGTGATGCGTGTGTCGGTGGGCACCATACCGCAACGTGCTGTTCACAACCCCAGCACCTGTGGGGTGTTCCTGTGTCCTTGTGTGACTGTGCAGAAGGGGAAAAGGGGTGACGAACTTTATATCCTTGCCTGCGTGTGTCTCAGAGTTAACTTGAATTGCCTGGTACTCTGCTCTTTGACACCCAAGTATTGAACCAAGAGGCATATGCTTGGGCCAAGAAAAAATCAGACCATCAGCCATCTGTTTTTGAAGCGATGGCTCCTGGTATGTTGTGAGTGGAATCCTGCGTCTAGTAAACTGTTGAGTAACACAGCAAGCGAGAAGTGAAGTGAAGCTTGTTTCTTTTATTGGTATTCTGTGATTGCACCTTTCCAAACCTGCCTGTCACCCTGGTCATTACATATAATGGCCAAGTGTAAGCATCATGGGGTCATTTGTCGTGGTTCTTTTTGTGAGTGCATCACAATTCGATCACCAAAACGTGCAAAGATGGCTGCAAATTACAGTCCATTTTGCGGTGAATCGAACAGGCCCTGCCTCCTGGCTCATCCTGCACCCGTGTGCCCAGGTGGGGTGGTCGGGGAGGAAACCAATACATCGTTTCTGGCCAAGGCCCCGCGGCTCTTGTTATGCCCCAAGCCCGATGGCCAGTCAACGCTCATGTCCTGCCCTCAACCCCCTGTTGCTGCCGCAGCCACCAACAAAGTCAGACCAGCATTGGGCGGTTGAGGCCGCCCCTTGGCCAGCAGCTCTCCTACTACAGCCGACTGATCACCGCCAGTCTTGTACCTCCCGCCACGTCGCGCAAATCAAGGTTTGAGGGGCGGCCGCCAGGGTGACCTGGGGGTGCCTGTTGTCGCGACTGGCGTGTGATTGGTCCCAGGGGGTGCATTTCGTACAACTAACGAGGCACCCCGGACTGCTGCGGAACGCCAGGACGTACACAAGGGAGATCCGGGTGGGTGGTGATCCGTGGGACCTGGGCGGGGAGGAGCCATGACACACAGAGGGGGCACCACAGAAACGTGAATCTGACAGCTCGCCGGGTTGCCTCGGCGCAACAGCGGAGGGGACGCCCACGGATGGCATTCCATCAAGTAGATTAGTTCGGCCTCTATTTGGATGATATCTGTTTCCTAGGTTTGCGGCCTTCTTGTGGAGCGCTGAGTTTGAACGCCCCTGAGAAGTCGCGCGGCCCCTCCGTCGCCCCCGGTTTGTGCGTTGCCGTGTGGATGCCCGTCGCCTCGACCGCCCGTCAATAAAGTCTGAGGTGCGCGCTCCGCCCCGCCGCCCGCGCACCGGCGCCCTGCCCCCTTGCCCCCCCTGCTTCCGGCGACATCCTCCCTTCGCGACCGCCGCTGACGGGTGGCTGCCTTTTCCCTGGCGCAGATTATGTCGTTCGACCTCACCCATGTCACGGACATGAGCTCCAGCTTCACCATATCGGATGACATGTCCGGTAGCTTCCATACGGGCGAGACACCGACCTCCAACCTGTCCGCCTTTGAGAGCTCGGCCTTCGGCAGCGGCAGCTCGGTCCTGTCGGCGTTCGAGCCGCCAACAGACGATCCGCTGGGCCTCGGCCAGGCGGCGGCGCTCGCGCACCTGCTGGAGGAGCAGTCGGCGACCGATGCCAGCCTGGTAGGTGGCGATGCCGGTGGCGCCGGATCGCGGCGAGGGCCTTGGCCCCACGGGCTTTGGACGAGGGGGCGCGGGCTGGGTTCCTCGTATGCTGATTGCTCGGGGGTAGGAGGGTGGGGGGTCGCATGATCGATACCGGCGTCCAAGGCATCCTGCTAGGCTGAGCGCGGTGCTCCTAGGACGGCGGGCGATCGCTCGAGGCGGGCTCGCGCCTGCCGATGGCACCACGGGTCGGTGTCCAGGTCTGCGAGTGGCCCGCCTGGCTCTGGAGAGCTCTACCCCGCTGTGCGCCGTCTGGCGCTTTGGAAAGCTCGTCTGGAGCGGTGTTTGGGCTTGCGTGTCTGAGAGGCGAGAGCCGTGGTGTGGCGCGCAGGAGGAGCTCGAGGCGGTGATCTCGAAGCTGCAGGCGATTTATCTGTACCGTCAGGTGAGGCCGGTGGGCACGAGGCGGGGGAAGGCGGGCCGCGCGCCCGCTCCCCGGGCTCAAGCCCCGGCAGCGGCGTCCTTGTTTCAGCGATCTTGTTTCAGCGATCGAGCGCCCCGTGTCGCGGCGCGCCGGCGGCCTTCGGAGCGGCGGGGGGGGGGGGGGGGGGGGGGGGGGGGGGGGGGGGGGGGGGGGGCGGGCGGCGCGTGCTGTGGGGCCGGCCCCGTGGGTGCCCATGCGCTGCCTGCGCACCAGGGCGCTCAGCGGAATCATCGTCAAGGCACGACCGCTCGCGGGTACCGCCGCGCTGCCGGTGAGCCAACTGCCCCGGCTTCCCGACCCTGCTTATGCAGCCTGGGCCAGCCCAGGAGCCCGAGCTCCCCACGCTGCCATCTTGCCAACGACGCTGAGGTGTGGGTCCCCACGGCCTTTGCCGTCATGGCGCCTTACCGCAGCTGTCCCGCACCGGGTCTCATTACTAGTGGATTTGGTGTTCTGCGCAGGGTTTGAAAGCTCTCACAGAGGAGCGCATCCCGGGGCTGGGCGAGTCCTCATCCGCCTGCGTCAACGCTGCCCTGCCCCCCGAGCTCCAGGCGGCCATGCTGGCCGGCGTCAGGGCGCCCAGCAACCGCTCCGACTCCTTCAGCTCGGCCGTGCCCGGCTCGCCGAACTCCATATGGCGGATGAACGCCGCGACGGACATCCCCACGCTGCAGTACCCCTCGGGCAGCGTCCTGCCCACCGGGGGCGGCGACTTCACCTCGTCCCTGGCGCAGCTCCAGTACCAGCTTCACCAGGACATGGTTCGGAGGTACAAAAGAAGGTAGACGGGCTACCTTTGCAGAAACAGTGCATGTCCATACCCTCCGCCACCGAACACTGCCCGTCGACCTAGCCAGCAACGATCCCTGCGCCGCGGATGCACTTGCACGAACAACCCTCGAGGAAGCACCCCTCAACCCACCGGTCTGGCCTCTCCGCGTGATCGGAGTTTTCCCTGACTCAGCATTATGCGCCCGCTCCTGGCTCTGGTCTGCATCGCGAGCACGGTGCGCGCCTTTGCTGATCCGCCTTTGTTGTGGCTAGCCGAAGCGGGACCCGCCACAACCGCTTTCCACGACGCAGAACCCACCGTCGCCAGGCCAGCAGCCCCGCGGCTCTGCGCCCGCCCCAGTGGGCAGACCCCTCGTGGCACCCCATGACGGCGGTGCTGGCCAAGGGCGACCTGGCGGGCGCTGGGACGGGGGTGTTCATACCCGCCACAAGCCCCGGCGGTGATGGCAAGCAAAGGGAGATCGACGACCCCAGTGCAGACACTGCTGGTGAGTGGCTCAAGGCTGCACTGCCTCTGTTCCACCCTCCCCCTTGTTTTGTGTGTCTCTGGGTGCAGCTCTGAATCGTCCCTTCGCTGGTTTACCTGAGGCACGGCGTGCTCACTTTCTGCTGTCCTCAGACTGCTGTTGAAGCCAGAGCCTGGCCTCACATTTGGACTTGTGCGGCACTCGCGGTGAGTTTCTGGGCGGCAGTGAGGCAGGCTGGTGGGGCTGGGGCATGTGGATGTCTCCTGCGCTCCCCATTCATTCTCACAGCCACCCAGTCTGAGCTGGTGGAACACTCCAGTGGTTGCATGACGTCAACTCTGTCTTGTATTTTGGTCACAGGTGCAAAGATGGCAACGGCGAATGACCTTCCCGCAGAGTGGATGTACTGAGCTTATCTATCACCACGTGTTTGATGCTTCATCTGGGTGTTGGGGTTTTTGGCTGAGAGGCCACAAGCATTGTACTGTACGTAGCCGAGCCCGCGGACTAGGTGTTTTAATATGAGGAACGTCTCGGCAAGTGGGTGAATGCAATGAGAAACAGACTGGCTGTGGGCGCCAGAGAAGAACAAGAGACTGCAGGCGAACTTTGGTCTGTGCGGCGTTGGGCCATGGAACGAGGTGTTGAGTATTTCTTACATTTTTCTCCAAGGCCTGCGGCTGAGCATGCCTTTTTCCGCCACCTTCTGCCAGAGTTTCCCAGTGGCCTCCTGAAGGGTTTCCCGACTTGAACAACGACTGTCCAATTTTCTTCTGGACAGGGATAGGCTTGGGTAGAAGAAACACCAGCAGGGAGGGATGTGGGGGACCTGTGCAGATTGTGGGGATTGGATTTGTTCCGACCGGAATAAAGCAGAGGGGCGGTTGAAGTATCTGTATGCACTGGAAGTAGGTGCTGAGGGCTTGGAATCCATCAGGAATGCAAATGGTATTCTGAGGAATAAACAGATGATGCCAGAGCCGCATACAACACGCACCTGTCACAGATGCTTGCAGAAGGTGGCCAAGGGCTTCTTGCAGTTGGGATAATTCATTAGCAAGAAGCTGTGTGGCTGTCCATGTGTTTTGAAATTTGGTGGGAAGAGACCCTTAGTTGTCACTTGGACAGAAAGGAATCGACGGTGCTTGTCAAGTCATCATGTTTCATATGGTGTACTCGACAGCCTGACAGACTGGGTTCGCTTTGCTTGTTTCCCATTTCGATTAAAGGGCTATAGAACGACGGTTACTAGACGGACAGTGCTCAGAAGGACATCAACGCAGAAATAATGCGGGATTGGTGTGTCAGTCCAATTTGTAAGGCATCTAGGTAGTTGGGACGGGGAAAACTGACGTTTCCTTTGTGGGCTCACACATGATAGGCAAGGCCACCCAAGCAGTGACAGCGACAAAAAGGGACAAGAATGGAAGGGCTTGGGACAGACGTGCAGGCTGCATTTCCAGTGTAGAGCTCAAATAAGTCTAGGGAAGAATGGGGAGCACGCAGGTCGTGTGTTGCCTTCCCCAATGGCAGAAAGGAACTTCTTGTTTTTCCCCGTCTGTGGGGGGACATTGGGTGTGCTGTGCTCGGCGTGCGACTGTATTGCGTAGCATTCCTGTGGTGTTGTGCGTTGAAGGATGTGTCTTCGATCCGAACCTGGAACCCAGACGGGATCAAACGAGATGGATGTGAAGTATAGTCTGAGCCTCCAAGTCGGCTGGCACAGGGCCGCAAGAGGTTGTACCGCTCTGCTCAATGTAAATTGTTTTTCCGTCTGTGGCGATTGTGCTGGGCTAGTGCAAACTGTGGCAATTGATTCGTCCGTGGCGATTGTGCTTGCTGGGGATAAGGAATGCATATTGGGCTCCTTAAGCTTGGACAACCGTTTGTGACTGGCCTTGGTGTGCGGCAAGGAATGCATGGAGGATATTCCGATGCCCACCACTGGTGCGAGATGGGGCATGGCTGAAGAGAGGGTCTGTTTTCCATGGAATTGCTAATGAACGTAATCGTCGCTATGGCCGTTCACGGCAGCACGGAGCACCACCGACAATGTGCAGTGGGCTTGGGTGCGATCTTTCCTTCTTTTGAGAGCACCATGTACACCAGCAAACCCCGCCTTGTGTGGCACAGGAGACTGGTGAATCGCAAAATGTGGTGCAGTTTCAGAGAGTGAACACTGGAGGAAGCAGGCCACCCGTCCGTATATTCCAAGTGTCATCCAAGACAACCTTAAAATGCCATGCAAGTTCAATTCCAAGAAGCCGGCCTCACTATGCCGCGCGCCATCCGTCAGCATCCATGCAAGCTGTCATTCTGTCCTGTAGGGGTTCCCGATTGCAATGCCAGCAGCACAGAGTGGCTCCCCCGTAGCCCTACTCCGCGTCCCGTTTCTTTTCGAAGGCGGATGGTGTGTCCATGATGCTCAGGCAGCACAGTCCTGCGATATCACGGCACGTCACGTCACTAGTCAGGAGACAATCCAATACTGCAGAAGTTACAGACGAGGGCGCGCCCAGGCGAATGGCGCGACCCTAAAACGTAACACAACGGAACATGAAACAATGATCTACAACCTTGTGTAATTCGACCCACAGGTTACAGCTTTTGAGACATTGCACAAACCACAGGGCAAGCACAATGTGCAATCCAGGGTGAAAGTCCCATCATCCAAGCAGCTGTCTGGCAAGGTCCGGTCGATGCTATCGACATGCCATTACTCCGCACTGCAGCACAAGTGGATGCTAATAGCAGAGTAGAACAGAACATGATGTCACGGAACACTGGGTGTCCCAAGGCTCACACTGCGTCCAACACTTGCAACATCACATGCAGAACTGCAGCAGAGATGCAGTCGGCAGCCGTTTCCACGGTAGGCACAAGACCGCCACAGAAAGACTGTCCCCGATTTTCTGGAGTACTACCCATGCCTCGTGACGCACCTACTACAGCTGCAAACGCCATCAACAGCAAAAGGATGGCCCCCTCAACAAACTTGACTTGTGTCTGGGGCACAGCAGACAGCAAAGTGATCAGCAGGACCCACTGCATGCAGTAAGGTTTGCAGCGAACTGCACAGCCAGGGCCCCTTGTAGTGCAACTTGCCATCTTTGAGGCTGAGGATTCAATTGTTACAATCTTTGTTGCCACGCATATTCTGTGAGGACTGGCACAACACCTGGGCGTTTAAATGCGGTATTATGCTCAGGAACAAAACAGCAGAGAGCCGACTGGAATGCCAAACCAGTGAGCACCGAAATCCAACACGCAGCATTCCACAAAGGCATCAAGTATCCTGCAACGAACATTCCAGATTCTGAGCATTGGGCTCCGTGCATGCTGTGCAATTCTCTCTCAACCACAAATCGGGGGGAGCACGTCGCTGCTAACATTTTCTGCTGGCTCAAACTCCACGATAGGGGAGCAGGGTTGCAATTTGCTGATACTCTACAGTCTCTATGCAGAAGCTCTGCGTACTTGGCACAATTCATCGCACACGTCCGCGCCAAGTGAAGAGACATTTTGTTGAAGCAGGGACCTTCTGCGGCTGGCCAGTACAAGCTCATCTTCAGGGATGTCTGAGACAAATAAGCATGCATGATCCCCTCTTCTGGACTGCAAAGCCGTGAGGACGCTGCGCAGTTGGGCCATCTCCTCAGCACTGTCCCCTGATCCACAGACCAGGACAACACAAGGCTTGTCCGACAGTGTTTTCCCAATGATCCTTTCGAAGCCAACACCAACATCTTCGGCATGCTCCCCAGATGAACAGGGTCCCAGAACCTGACAACCCGCCGAGCAGAAAACAGTTACATTCGGCTGCAAATTCAACAAATGCACAACAGTGTCTACAACACCCCATGGGAAGCTGAACCGCATGCACGAATGTCCCCGATGGGGTCACAACCGCACCACAAAATCATAATTTCATCATTGATATTGGTGACAACTTCTCAATGACATAACTGCATGTCCAGTCTGAGTTGCTGAAAGTGCATAGCATGCTGGCGAAATTTAGCTACCAGAGGCACAACGTGTAAGATCTGTTCAATGGGCAAACACAATGCACTTGATGGCCCTTGCATCTGTTTCGATGCTCGAGCTGTTTTCATAACTCCCAGGGCACAAACGTCCAAACAGTTCAAATGCGGTCACACAAGGTAACAGTGGTATTCACATGAGGTCATATTACAGCTGCAAAGGACTCTGTGGACGTTCGAAGCTCTACTCAAACTAGCGCGCTGCATGGGGATGTGCACTTGTGCCCATGTTGAAGTAATGTTGCTTGCATGACCAATTGTTCCTGCAAAAACCATGCGATCTTGCAAATGGCCACAAGGCCACAAGATTAAGCAAGATTGGCTGCACCTTTTGTCAAGAGGGGAATACCTCATCAAATGACAGAACATGTCAAGGGCATGACTCCATACAGCTGGCACTGGTGGATATTGGCCAGCCAGCGCAAGCAAGGGCGATGTTGTACCATGCCCTTTCACCTATTCCAACAATTACAGAACCTCCATATTCCTTTGACTTGAGCCAGGTTTCTCTCTGAATCGGACATGGGGAGTAGTCCAACTGTGCTACCAAGGCCACTGCTGTTAACAAGATCATGTTCTGCAGATGGAAAGAGCTTGGATGAGGGACACACTGCACAATCGAAAAAGGAAGCAGCAACACAGATGGAAAGAGCTTGGATGAGGGACACATAGCACAAAGGAAAGAGGGAGCAGCATCACAACCTGAAAATCATGTGAACAGCTTTTGACGCACCAATGAGCAAGGCGCTAAAAATCGCAGAAGTCGCTGGGGCATCACATTTGGAAGGCAAGGGGGAGCAGGGCTGTGTTGCACAAAGAACCAGGCCTATGAGCTCACCTGAACATCAGCTCCTATTTGGGCAGCAGTGTCATAAACTGATGCAGTTAACCCTGCAGCGCTCTGTCCCTGGAGAGACACAATGGCGACACAGATTTTATTGTCATATCTTGCAGGGTAAGGTATGGGCATGTATGAGAACATAGAAACAGTATGAGGACATAAAAAGTGTCCACCAAGATTATGCCATTCTCTGCAACAGCAACAGCACCACAGGCATAACACCTGCACATGTCCGCTACTTGAATGGTTTACACCAATCCTGAGCCAGCAATGGCCTGAGTGTTTCACCACAGAAATCCATAACGTAAACAGGTTGTTCCAGTCATCAGCTTTCCTGACTTGCATTCCTTTGCCAAAACCACCTCCACACCATTCTTGCCCGTGTGGAACAGTGTCCTGCAGGAGGGCAGCCGTTACGATGCCTTGTTGTGCTGGACACACATCAACCAGCGGAACTGGCACTTGGTATGTGGATGGACCAAATCATCCTTGCATCAATAACCTTTCCCAGGCCCATGCTCCACCAACGCCATGGGAAGCACATGACCAACGGGCATTTCACATAGACTTGCTTGATTACCACTTGATTACCACAAGGCAGGCTGGTGTTGGTTCCCAGTCAATGCGCAATTGTTCTTTTGTTTTCTCTCAAGGCTTGATTGATTTCTTCTCAATTTCTTGGGTTGTTTGTCATAAGTTCAGGTTCAGCACAAGCTTGCAAAAGCACAGAGGTGTCAATATGCCCTGCCATATAGAATTACAGTTGTTCATGTGAGCATGGGCAAGCTGAAAAGCAAAACTTGTAGGTTTGGGTTCTATTCCATCAGGAGAACAGATCCTATCAGGTAGGTGGAGGCAAATGGCTCCTGTGCAAAATTGCTTCTGTTGTCTGGCATTGTGGTTCACGATGATCTGGTTTCAAATTGTGCACGCATGATACCCAACCGCAGTGCACCTCATTCAGCAGGTTGACATAGGCAACCGAGGAAGGCGCATTTTGCATGGCCGAACGCAGGGGCTCCAACAGCGGAGATGAACCCAGCTGTCCCAGCTCCCAAGTTTCCACCTGCACAGCACAATTGCCTTCACAAAGTGCAGACTAAGTCAACACAAGTGGCAAGATGCCAAGGCTGCAATGTACAGCACACCATCAACAACAGCATGCACAGCAAAGGTAGAGCCCGACAAACTTGACAACAACCACTACAACACAGTTCACTGTGCACCATTCTATTTGTCCCCAACCAGTTGGCATCATCCTGGTAGATCAATATCACACCACCGTGAGCCCTGATCTAAATCTCCACCACAGTCCAAAAGAGACATTTGGTTAGGAGACCGAAATCAGCACCTGACAGACAGATGCACCCATCACCAGTTCGCAGTACAATGAATCACACATGCCAGTCCAAGTCATGGTGGAAGTGGAAGTAAATTCTAGAATCAGGCACGTGGAAGCCCAATCCAAGGCTACCTGGTGGCTCACGAAGATCACTGCCAGCCCAAGGGAAGGATCTTTCACCAGGACATCTTTCAAGAGTCCGCTCCAGGCCTGTGACAGAGGTAAGGTCTGAAAACACACGCAATATACAACTGTCAGCCCACAATCTTTGATAGTGCAAGCTCGACCGCACAGCTAAGAGCCATCAGGACTGCCGATGATCAAGGAACGCTCGAGAGATTCTGCAAGGCCTGACGACTTACCTATCCTGATTCCTGCCGTCCTTTCTTGCCTAAGGCATAAGCAAGGTCGGACTATCCAGTAATCCCGTTCCGCCATGACTCGATTTCACGCCATCGCCCAAACCCCCCCTTGCATCCTTCCGCATAGCGTTCAGAGGTCAGTCGCGATCGGCGCCACAAGGTTGCCGCCGGATCCGACATTTTCACGGCATCGGCTCCCAGAAAGCCAGGCAACATAATGGCCGCCAGCGCAGGCTGCAGACTCGCCTCGTACGAGACTTGCGAGGTCCCAGACAGTGCGAACAGCGGCTTGGTGCCCCATGCCAGGACGGGGGACACCAGCGCCGGCGCTGCCTGGGATCTGCGCGGCGCAGAGGAAGCGCAGCGGAGGCACAGCAGGGCTGTCAGCCAGAAGGCGGTGGCACCGTAGCGCATCTTGAGTGCCGGCGACGGGTAGTCCCGAACGGGAGGGCGCAGCAGGCTGGTGCCCGATCAATGGGCCAGAGGTGTGGGGTGGGGTGTTAGTACACACACATAGGCTTCACTTGGGGGTGCAGTGTTGGTACATAGTATGAAGTGTGCTAGTACATACAAGTAGGCTTCATTTTGACTGCAAGGGCAACCATATACCCACACACGGCCGCCAGCTCTATGATGCAATGCCTCGATTCTCTCGCTCATTGGATTGGACGAGAGACCTTTCTCGTCAAGATGTTTCTCTAGTGGCTCAATTTCTAACAGGCCACCATCCAACAAATCCATACTTACACCGTTTCCACCTTCTCGATGACTCACAGTGTACATGGTGTCACTACCCTATAGATGACAGAAACCACATATTCTTCCATTGTCCCCGTTTTGCTTATTTGCAGCAGCAACTGACCACTGAGATCCATCACTTGACATGTGGACATGGTGATTGGAATTGGGTTTATCTTTCTGGATCGGGACGACCTTTCCTGGCCAAGTTTCTCAGGGCTGTTAGACGGGCATGTATTGAACATTGAGGGAGGATCCGGTACATCTTGTTGGGGTTATGATTGATGTTGGAAGTTAAACAAGGCAACATGCATGGGATATATTGGGGCATCTTGGAACATTTGGGGACATTCGGGACATTACCTGACGAACTCACTCTCGCCTTCATGACATTTTCTCTCTTTGATGCTTGGGGCTCCCCCGCTGAGACATTATGAGTTCATTGGACACTAACGTTTCTCTCTGCTAATATTGTTTGGGACCCTACATCGGCTCTTGCTGGAAAAGGGCCCGCCATGCTTTCCGATTTGCGGGGGAGTCCCTTTGTTCGAACTATCATGTATTACGTTGGAATTAAAGAAAAAGGGCAACCGTATACGAGCGACTGCGTAGGTTCGTCGTTATACGTTAGTACAGTGACCGAAAACAGCACCGCACGGAGTTTGGGATGAGGTCCAGACCGCACCCACCACCCGCCACTCCCACGCACGATCCTCCATAGCCGCAGCGCATTATCGGTTGTAAGAATCCCATTCTTGTTCCAAAATTCCCCCAAAACTCACTGTACTTTCCCCAACCTCAGATAATGTGCACACGAAGCTGTAGGCACGTCGTCGATTGAAACTGCCACCTGTCCGTCTAAGTTCAAGGCAACAAAAAGTGCGGAAGGCAAGCAAAGAGCCCAACCCGCCAAGCAACTGTATCCCCAAGAGCGCCGTATATTTCTTCTTGCTTCTTACACTCGCAAGCTTGACTGTGCGGAAGTGTGGCATTCTTTTCTGTTGTGCTCTTTTGATTCATTGATACATTTTATCAGAAGTACTCGATATTGTCTGGTGCAGTGCTTCCTTTCGCAGTGCGACAGTAGAGAAACGTTGCACCTTTGGTTCATTGAAATGCTCGATTCTTTTTGATACAGCCTCGCGAAGTCTTAGTTTCTTTGGACGCACTTTGAAACATCCACAGGCCGTCGGCGTCACCAAGGAAACTGGAAAACTATAGGGCATGAAACACAACACGAAACCAAACTGACCTCAAGAACAGACTTTGCTTTTCAACAAGGACACAGTTTCCCAGACTGGTTCTGCCCTCCTTGCCCTGTCATTTCCTCTTGTTCATTGTCTGATTCCATACTTCTGCGTTTCGCTGGCATCAATCTCACACCGCACCTATAGAACTTGACTGCGCATCCCTCTTTCCACTATTTCGCCATTTTAAAACCTTCCCTGAAGCACAGAGCAATCGATCTGTTGTCCAGCGCAAATTTGAAGCTATCTTATACACCTATGGCAACAACTGCGCCAGTTTCGTGGTGCTGTCTAGCCCCTTCTCCCCCATTGCTCTGGTGCCGTACTTGTGCCGCCATAGGCAGCGACGACGTCAGCCATGGTGCCCAAACATCCAGTCGAGTTAAAACAAAAAGGGCACACATGGCCCGCATGAACGCCAGCCATTGCGTGGTAGCTCGGACAGGAATCTAATCTGGGGAGGGGAGAATTGGAACCTGCAGCACAAAAGTCTTGCTGTGAAGGCCGCTGGCGCTTGCGGGCTTACGAATGTGGCATTGCAACTGTCGGTACCAGCAATCGCTGGGTTGGATTCTGACGACATGCGCATTGAAGACTTCAGAATTCAGGGGAGCTGTTGTGGGGTGTCAGCACAATCCTGCAAGGATTGATTGGATCAAACTGCATATGCTGACCACACTCCATTGTTGCCAATCACACATAGAAAGTTGATCAACCACCGGCCATACGACGATCGCACTGAGCCTGTCTAACACTGAACTGAATTCAAGACACGCTCTGAGTTGACTTTTGCGATTCAGCCGCTTTGTCACTTGTGGATAAATGGAATCAAAGAATATGCACACACAGCCCTGCTGTAATAGCAGGATTTGTAGTTACAAGAAAAAGAACACGTCATACAATGGGCACCCCTCCTGACAAGGATGGACGCATTCACAGGATTGGAAGAGCCTGGATGCTACTGCATTCAATGGTCCTGTAGCCCCCAACCCGATAAACGCAATTAGTAAGAGCATAATGCCGTCCGGCCAGTATGATGTCTGATGTAAGAATATCTTCTCAGCCAGAGAGTTGCAGCACAGCCTCCCCACCGCTAGCGTACAGCATGAATGCCTGGCAAATGGGAAATCCTCACTTGTACATATCAACCCAATGCATCAGCATAGTCACAAAGCCTGTGAGCAGCCCATCTCAATTATTATGAGCAGCATCACGCACGTGCTCATAATAGAAAGATCTGCGCATCTCTCCTCGCACAAAATCAGAGAACAACAAATCACAGTGAAGGCCATAATGTATACTGTAGTGTGCTGTGCACTGATTTATGGCAGCAGATTTAGGTTCCACCTTGCTGCCTCCCCACATCACATATACACAGTCACCATCATTTCCAAGATTGCCCTTTATAAGAGTGGAAACAAGCCTGAACCCAGTGGAAACCAGGATGGTTGCTGGCCAGCAAGCACTGCTATTTACAATTGCAAACAATGTCATGACCCTTTGAAATTTTGGCAAAATTTTGCAACATGACTTGCAAGTCAGACTTGAAGATTGGTCGCACTGGAATTCACAGCTGGCAGCAGGCATGTGTATGGAAGCATAGACATGACCCCCTGTGAAGTGCACCATTCTTCCATCCAGATGCTGAGCATATTCAAGCCCTGAAAGCTGCTATTTCAGAATGCAGAAGTCTTCCCCTTTTTCTTTCCCAGCAACAAGTCCTTTGCCTCATTGACTTTGGCAGCAATGTAGCTGCTTCCCCCTATGACATGTGCACATTATAGTCACACGACTTGCCAGCTGAGCGCAAAGGACCGCACTTGAGGTCTAGTGCAGCATGTGAGGTGGGCCTGTTACATTTGCAGTGGTGCAGTGCAGTACTACTTTGTCGTGCTGTGCTCCCTATTGCAGGGACATGCTCTGCTCACACAGCTCTTAGGGTTTATGACAATGCAATGGACACCAGTTGACAAATAGGAACCATCCTGGGGTTCTTTCTCTTCAGAAAGTGTACATTCTGCAAGTTACCAGTCCCCAATCGCCAGTTTGGCAACTGAGATGGGACTGACCTCGGTCCACTGTTGTCGCAATTGTTTCAGAGAGCACAATTAGAGAGGCATTGCCAAAAGATGTAATAGATGTATGTAGCACACTGTACCATTGCGGCAGACGACTATGTCCCAGTCAGAATACACGCCCATTTTGTGCTCACCCTCACACTGCACGTCCACAGAAGTACAACATGGCAACAATGGCACCAAACATTTGCTTCAACACAAGGGAATTCTGCAGCTCAAGTTTGACACCAATTGAGCAAACTGTTGTGAGTGTATTGAGCAAACTGTTGTGAGTGTTGTGTGTGTTGTGTGTGTACTCATAATGTAGTGGGGGAATTTCTGAGAGCAGCACAAAAGCATGCAAACACCAACAATCGAATGTGCAGTTCTCATGCTGCTCAAGAAGCTTGGAACATTCTTATCCAAGCCACAAAGTAACTGGTTGAACATCCATGCACCCATTGTTGAGTTCCACTATTCAGCTGAACAACCAGCAACAATGAGTGTTCCTCGCTACAGTACTGTTTCATAATAATGCCAATAGTTTTTGGAAGAGCTTTACAATAAGATCGCTGCAGCACAGTGCACAAAGATGACCAAATCGACAAAGAGCAGAGAGCGCCACCTGTTTTGGACACCCGCATCCACCATGGATGCAAGATTTGTTGCAGTACAGCCAACATCGTTTGCACAACATCTGTGTCCTGGAGCAACCACAAGCTACTTGCACCAATGAAGAATGCATGTTGTGCACTGAGTATGGTGTGCATTTCGATGTCGAACTCATTGGACCAAATGGGGGAAAATACTTGCCCTCTCACCTGTCAAGTGATAATGGCCCAACAGAACTGTTGTGGCACATTCTTGTGGCAACCGCAAATAATGCCAGTTGGGAAGTGTCAACCTCAACCAATAGGCAACTCAACGGCCCTTGTGGATCCCCCAGGAGGGGCTGCTCAACAGGCACACTTGGGGCACGTTGACTGGACCGTCAGATCAATGTTTGAAACAAATTGAAGAACTCTCTGTCACCTGCATCAGGATGGTTGGCCACCATTATCTTCCTGTGTGCCTCCTTAATTTTCTCCTCAGGAGCGCTTTCCCTCAGCCCCAGTATTTGCGCTGCCTCCCTTCGGGTCATCTCCTGGAGAAACCCTCCCTGTACAAGAAATCCACAAAATTACTGTCAGTCCTGAGGGCATCCAGGGCGTTCAACACAAAAATCGGATGCACAGTTAATCCGGAAACACCCTCTATGACATCGTCGTCCTCAAGATCAGGTCAAATTGTACCCTTCATAGTCATGCAGATGTAGAAGATTTCTTGGCTAGTTTGGCAATTTTCCGATAATTGGCCCCAAAAACTAGACCCCTAGTTACCGTCAAGGTGCCGAAAGGTTCAGAGGAGAGCCGCCCAATACGTTTCAAGGTCACTGCTATCGAGACAGACAAAGCTTTTTGCAAACACAAGGAGCAGCAGGACAAAAGACAACGTTCGTGTTACCCGTGCTTGATGGTCCGCACCTTGTAGAATTGTTTGAGTGTGGGCCCACCGCCACTTTTTAGCGACTGGTATGCTTGCAACGCTGCTCGCCCAAGCAATGCGGCCGCAGCCACACCCAAGCCGGCAAGAATAGGCGTTGCCTACATTGATCAATGGGTTCAACTCAACGCCCGAGTTAGCTGTCATTGACGGTTCCACACGAGAATGGCAGAGCACGGAGGCAGATACTGGCACTGTGCAGCACCGCTACGCTGGAGAGCTTGGCTCACCATAAGCGTGTGGTCCCTTCTGTAGCCGGAGGTTTACTCCCAAGGCACCAGTCTCTTTGCGGCTTGTCGCTGCAAGTAGTTTGGCCGCTCTTGTTGTGTCCACCTTCCCTGCACAGTCGACAGCAATCTGCCTTGGATGAGCGAAAGAAATGCTTCAGTCCATGCTTCAAAATCTCGGGTTCTTTTTTCTTAAATTTGGCTTGGCGCCATCAGGGCCATCCACCAACCCGGTGTGTTTTTTGGTTTAGCTCATCATACCGATGTCCGACCATGACATCGAATTTTTCTTCGAAGGCAATCAAAGCAGTGACCGGGCTCGATTTAAGTGCTGCAGACAAGGGAAGCGATAATATTCGACGTTCATGTGCCAGGACGCCTCCCCTAGGATGGCAGAAGCGCTGGGAACTGCCCTGGTCCGCGAGCATGCCCTGAGTTTCAACGCGCATGCTGCGAAGATGGAAGAACCAGTGCAGCAACTCGCCAAGTGCGTTGCTGGACATCGGCAGGCCATGGCGTCTTCTTTGAACATGTACATGGCACCGCAGGCTGCCAGCAATGAGTGTTGAGCAGCAAGCAGAATCGACCTAAGACAACATTCCCTGCAGTATTTAGAAGCCATCACATAGTAGCCACTTCATTTTCGTTGAAATTTGCTGTACTTTGTCTCTAAGGTGGTTTGTTCTGGATGTTGGATGGTTTTGGGCAAGATTTTGTGCCCTAATGACAGCGATTGCTCTGCAAATCAAACACATGAATCATTGCGCTGGATGGCTCGAGTGAGATGCTGTTGTTTGACATTGAACACGTAACAACTGGTTTGCAAGAAATAAATATTCTTTGGAAGAAGTCAACATAAGAAACAGAGGAATTCGTTGTTCCAGGTTCTGGATGATTTTTTTCGTTGTTGCTGTAAAATAAAACTGCAACCTCTATTGAAATGACCCAAGTTAACTTTTTGCCTGCTTTGGTTGATCTGATTTTGTTCTTCTTTCAGTTGTGTGCGTTCTATGCCCTTCTGGGACAGGGTATGCCATACCGTCGCATTGGGACAGGTACTAAATTTGTAGCTGCTTAATCATATAAATTGTCAGAGAAATGTTAAATGCGGCATATGAGTGGTGATCTGGGGCCAAATGACCAAGTATATTTCTTCACCACCCCTGCTTTATTTTTGTTGTTGGATATGTACACAGCAGGCCTGTGTTTGTTATCGAGCAACTATTCGGGTGCAAATTTCTATGTAAAATATAAATTCGTTGCATATTATATTGGCAGTCTTCGGTTCACGTTGCAATGACATATACCACATTGTGGTTAATGAGCATTCTTGGTGACCTCCTGGATTCTTTTCAGGGAGTCACTAGCGTTGGGAATTGACAAACGGTACGATATGTCCAATCGGTTGGGTGGTTGTGAGCGAGCCCCAAAAATCATGGCACCCGCTTCCATAGTAACACCAAACCCAAATAGTTGGGCAGGATTCATGTGAGAGAGGTGTTACAAAACAGAATCAGGCAAGGGCTCCCAGGACTGTGTGTGATAGCTATGAGCAACCTCGTGCATGATTGTTCAATATGATATCTCGATTTTGATTTTGCAACAACGAGATTTGTAAACGTGCCTTGCAGTAACTCTACAAAGTAATTGAAGATACTTCATGCCCAGAATGCCATATAAATTTATTGCAACTTATTGCTCATGCACCTACAACAGATATAGTAGATCATGCAAGATTAGGATTTTATGTTGGTTGCCCATGGTGGACATGCTGCACTCCGAAACGTTTCTAGGAACATTTCCCAAGTTGCCCTAATTTTGTGCCATTGCCATGGTTGCCACTTGTTATGTGAACAATATCTTTGGTCCTTTATACGAGCGGAGTGAGATGCGACACAAAGGCGCGCGGACCAATTATCCGCGCCTTCGCGGAGCATCGAGCGCAGCGAGGCGATTTTGGATTTTGGGCCATTTTTGGGCCATTTCGCTGCATTGGAAAAGGGGCTTTGGAGACAGTCTGGGTGCTTGTGGGGACAGTGGTCTAATGTACAAGGTAACCCGGGGATGAGTAACGGTACTGTGTGCTGCGGGGACAAGAGCCGGGGAATCTTGTAACGAACATCCTATTCTGCTGTCACTGCCTGCCTGCGGACCGCGCGCAAGGCAACGCCGGACCCAATCCACCCTTCCGACTGATGCACCGCAGCGGCCGTTCCGCCAAGGGGCCCACCACGTCCGCGACGCGTCGAGATTGATCGAGCGACCGTGCCGATTACGCCTGGCTGACCGCCGGAGGGATCGACGATCCATCGCACGGGGCGCGCGCGGAAAAACCACACGCCACCACTAATTTGAATTTTTCGCACTGTTGCTGCTCCCGCCGAAACTAGAATCTTTGGCTCCTTTATGCAAACCATACTCTACCAGAAGTATAAAGATGCCAGCTCTATTTGTGCTCAATATGACGGTGGCTTTTCTGCAATTGTAGGGGGGTGGCTAGGTTAGCAACAACGCTGTACCCAAAAAAAATGGGCAAGGTGCATTACATTAACCCTAATTGTTGTCAAAATAGCGCCTCTTGGAGATTTGCAAAGTGAACCAAATAACCAGAATGTACAAGCCTTTCTAAATGTTTTATATAATTCTGGATAGAAGATGAGTAAGTCACGATCAAACATCAAATCACCCCTTATTTCGGAATTCCAAATTCATGGTATTGACCTTGCATCTATTGCTAGAAGATTGTTGCATCATTTTCTTATACTTTTCATTATGTCCAATAGGCATGGTCTAGGTAGAGCAA